CACACACACACACACACACACACACACACACACACACACACACATTAGTTAAGTCACTGATCAGTCATTATTTTTATTATCTCATACTGTATTTATATCATCAAGTCTACTCAGTTTCAGTCCTTACTGTTCCAAAAGTAGTCTGCAGGTATCTATCTAAGTTAAGATTATAGACAGTTGTTCAGGGGTATAAAAATTAAAAAATGCAATAGGATGGTTCAGAAAATGTGAATTTAAAACTATACTGAATAAATTAGTTCATTAGTTCCCACCACAACTTACTATTTAGACATGCTTAACGGTGGATTTTTTTTCTTTTCTTTTTTTTCTTGACTGGTATAGTCTACAATCCTAAACAGATACTTTTCAGTTATTTTGAAAATGAATCAGTATTTTTTGTTACTGCACATTCTCTTATGCTGATTCATGCTCGGTACAAAGGGTGTACTTTTGTCTTTGCTTTATGACACTACAGTCATCTTATTGAATTAGTATTTCCATCTTGTTTTCATTGTTTCTTTATCATATTAATTATTTGTTAAATTTGTCATATAGTAGTGCTGGCAAATGTTTGCCTCATCTTGCAGTGAAACTTGATGTTATGTGCTGACGAAACACATAACAATGTGCTTTCCATGTTGAGACCTCTTACTCTGAAAAATGCAAAGAGGAGTTATAATGTGCTGTATGACTATCAGAGATAGTCTTCTTACTATCTTGCCATAGTAAAATAAAAATAATTCAGGGCTTCATCCCTGCTAAAGCTTTGCTACAGATTGCTCTCACTGCGAAAAACACAACCATGCAGTGGACTACTTTTCAGTGACCTAGTTCCCTTCATAACAGTTTACAGGCGTGGGTTTTGGGCTGCACATGTTACAGCAGCAGTTGTGATTGCAATACAAAAGCCAGAGTGGAATTCCTCTTGAATATAACAAAGTTAGTTCATTCAATTCAATAAATATGATCAAAGAATGATACAGTGTTTTGGGGTTTAACTGTTTAAAATGTACTGCAGGTGTAAAGGGAACAGTCACAATTTATCCTAAGGAGGTTGAGAGGAGATGGAGAGAAAGAGAGAGGCAGGAGGGGGAAGGGAAGAAGCACGTGGTAACCGGCACAGTCTCATCATCCTCTGTGCAGCATTTGTGTTTGTGAAGCACAGCAGCCATTTTGGTCTGCAGCCCTCTTTGTCTGCTGTAAAAAGGTGAAAATAGAAAACTGACACTATTATGTCAGGCTACATTTAAGTGCACTGTAAGTAACACAGACAGAGAGACTGAAGTATGTAGAAAAAATAAGTAGAAAACCAGCAAAACCATAAAGCTAGAGATAAATGTTGTATAACAAACAACTAGAGGCTGAATCTGACTGAACAACAAATGCAGTTACACAGGACAACTGAACTAAATTATATTGAAATCTAATTAATCTGTAATTAATTATTCAGTATCTTGTGAGCATTACATAGCAACTGAGTGGATTTTCTTCTTTCCACATGATCCTGTGTAAGTTTTTTTTTTTTTTTTAATATGATAGTTCTGTGCTGTTTTGGCACAAATAACCCTGTTATTATTGCAGCGCCTGTCATGAGAAAAAATAATAACTGACTTTTCTTTTCTCCACATTTGGTGAAAATTAGACTTCACTTTAGATGTAAGGTTCATAGTGCTTTTTTTTTAAAAAAATATTCTGGTTATTGCATGAGTGGTGACTTACTATTGGCATAACGTAATTAAAGATAATCCTTCAGCAGTTCTGTTTGTTTCATGTTCTCCACTTTTGAATGAAAGTTGTGGATCTTTATTGTCTGGTGTCTATAGTCTGTTTTGTTTTAAATATATATTGTTATTTATATATACTTATATCTTGAGGTCAGGGTTTGTGCATATAAAAATCCAAGTTCAAAAATCTCAAACCATGAGGTTAATTGTGTTAACCCACATACCCTCTGGAAGCAGTCTGCCATTATTATACGCCTACATCTGTGTCTGCTTTACCTGTTTTTAACTGTCTTTACTCCATTATGTCTTTCCTGTTTATGCTGGTGGCATTTTTTACTGAGTGCCATAAATTCTTTTGTCTCCTTAGGGGTCAAAGCTCACAGAAATGTCTTTGCAACCACTTAAATCATTCAACGAGTTTTATACCATTTACTAAATCCGTATGTTCTTTTATCCTTCTCCTTTTTAAGAACCCTCCCTTGAAGCTGCCATCAGCCATTTTAGAACCTTCAAACCTACACAAACCCTTGGTTATTACTTTGTTAAACTTCCTACTAGCCACAAAACTTTAATCACATGCAGAAGCTCTTGGTTCCCACAGATCTAATCTGTTTCTATGTGTCCTGACTTCCTTGCCAGGCTGTCTGGTGAGCAGCTGTGTGCTCATGTTTATGCCTCTGGGGGCTATCAACACATTGTGTGTTGTCTTTGAAGATGAGGATGTATATATTTAAGTCCCCTGTTGTATTTCTTTTACATTATTGGCCAGATAGCTGAGATATTGGGGACTTATAAGTATGTCATAATATCCTTTGGGCAGACAGTGTAATATATTGAACATGATACTAACAGGGAAAAGATAAAAGCTACAGATCTCTCAAAAATAATGCTAAAAAAAACCCCAGTGTGTTCTGTCCCTGTGAGAGAGTTCATTTATTGCTTAATGGAAGTATACACCTTTAAAATTTGCAGTATATGGGTAAGAAATTTGAGAAAATATATTAAAAAGCAAGCACACATAAAGTGTACATATATTTATTTTAACCATTCAAATTTAATTATTAACTTAAGTTAAAGTGGTGTGGAATTGTAGCTGGATGCCACTCTTTATCAGTTATTCTGTCTACAGCACTCTTTCATTTTCCTCCTGATCTCGTTTTCTGCATCCCTCCCCTCCCCCTCTCCAGCTGCACCACTCTGCTGCAGAGAGAGGAAAAAAAGACACACAGAGAAAGGGAGAGGAAGATTGTTCAATGTAGGACATTTTGTCCAGTCTATAAAAAGGAATAACAAACCATTGGGTGTCTTTTCATCTCTGTGTTTGGCTGCTATGTTTGTGACAAGAAGAAAAATCTCTTTTGTCCCACTTTTCTGCCAATTGCCAAGAGATTTGTTTGTACCCAGCAGTCTATAAATGTCTGCTTTATCTGAACATGTTATGAGTGTGAATGTGCACGTGTGTGAGAGCATCATTTCCCATCTCCTCTTCTGCTGGCTATTCATCCTCCATATTGTTTTTTCTAGCTCCTTTTTTTGCTATCCCTGTTAGGCTGCAGGAAGCAGGGTGGGATGCAAGTAAAGGAGGTGGGATGTGTTACCATAGCAACAAGCTGACTCACGGGCAGGACTGTACCATTTTTTATGATGCCACAGGGGTTCAGCAGCAGATGTACCCTCTGGTACTTACTGGCTTTTTAGATTTGTGGCTAGAATGAGGAAAGGAAACACCCCTGTTATGGGAAAATAGGTGCAGCATCCTCAGACCTTGGGTGGCTAATGATGGAGAAAGGGGAGGGAGATTGGGCTGTCATGGCTGTTTGTGATATTTTTTCTAATCTGTGCTACCCTGTGTGTTTTCTCACAACCCGTTTCAGCAAAATGTTGTCTCTGATGACTGTAATTCAACTGTGAATGACCCACTGAATGACCTGATTTCTATTTAATTTTTTTGTATGGCTTTTTAAAAGGAACAACAGCATTTTGGTGTCCTTTTGTCATTTCTTTGTGCACTGGCTGAGAGCTGTTTTGTGTTTCTAAGCAACACTGATCATGTATTACTTCCTGAAATGTGTTCATATGCATAAATGGCAAGGTTATATAATGTACAGTTTAATGTATAATCCCAGTGTAATGAAAAGCAGTTGATGCTTTGCTTTGTCTTAGAAGCTCAGACTCCCCCGCTAAGATACTCATCACACATGTCAGATGAGACAAACATGGGGCACAGTGCAAAGAATCTCATTAATATGG